CAATGCTTCATCAGATATGCGGTGACTTTACAGCTGTCCGCAGTCGGGAGAGAAGCAGTCGACTTCGGTACCTTGTTGTCTTACATGACTCATATTTGCGCCGAGTTTCAGGAGCACCCATATCAGGCAGTAATTCAAGCTGAGGCCAAGTATCGTCGTAATGCAGCCATGGCGGTGGCTAGTGGGTCAATGAGTCTTGCTGATGTTTTCGGTAAAGAGACTTACATACGACCCCGCCTAGACATGGAGATTGCTTCCTATCTTACGAGCAGAGAGCATTCCACTCGCTGGGGAAAAGGTTTTACCAAAGGAAAGGGCAAAGGAGCACACAGTTTCGGACCCGTCAGAGCAAAAGGTTTCTCTGGTAAGGGTAAGGGTAAGGCACAGTCGTCCCAGCCTTACTCACGCTCCAATCAAGTGTCCACCTGGAACAGTAATGGTGAAGCGTCCTCGTCGACTACTGGTACGTCTGCGAAGTAAATGCAGTGTTGCTAATGAGGTTTTTAGAGTGTAGAGTTTTCCGTTTTTCTTGTAACCACTGATTGTTCGGGTTATTCAGTTCCAGTAGGCAGTCGTGATATGCTGTTTTTATGTCAGCGTTGTACTCTGGTTACTCTCATGGTCGCCTCAACGCAAGGTTCGGCCAAGCAGCGGCAAGCTAATACCAGGAGTACCGGAGCCCGTGCACGACGAAATGCTAAGCGAGCTCAGCGTCGGTCTGCAAGTAGAACGGTACAGAGTGATCTCCAGGCTTCGTTACGGTCGACGACGTCGTACGCTTCATCTACTGACCCTTCCAAGGTCTTGGATTACTATGCAACTACGGCTTCTCTCTTTCGATTTCAAACAAAGGGACCGGTGCGTCGAAGAGCTGTCGGATGGGTCGGCCAAGCCAGCGGCTTGCAGGTGGTTTGAAGATAATGCTCCGAATCCTACACCGATTCATCGTCTCCTCCAGAGTCAACTCGAGCAGACAGTGACAAAGGTTTTGCATTCACGAGGCCTTACTGATCGACTGGTGGCTTGGTCTCAGTTAGACAGGTCAGCTCAACCTTCTGAGGTTGATCTTTTACGTGATTTGGAAGAGGTGATAACGGAGCACTCTGAGCATTTAGCGGCTACGTGGGCGTCTCTTTTGCGTGTGTCTTCGGACAAGGCACCAGAGTGTTCTATTCGTGCGACGCTTACGAAGGCTTTGCTTTTGGCTACGAAACGACCAGATGATCTGGAGGATACACTTATATGCGACGAAATTCTACGTGGCTGTGGTATAGGTATAGATAGTCCGATACCTAGTACTGGTCTCTGGCCTTCGGATAAGGGTCCGAAACACTCTGGTTTTGGCTTATGTTCGTCCGCGGCTACTTCGTGGAAGAATTATGCGTTTACTGAGTTGTATCGTGATCAAGTCCAAGAAACGTTAGAACGTGAAGTGGCTAAGGGACACATGTGCCGTCTATTGGGGTGTCCTGATTTTGGAGTTGTTACTAAGTTAGCTTGTATCGTTAAACCCTCTGGAGCGCTCCGTCTCATTGATGATTTGAGGCGGTCTGGGGTTAATGAACGAGTACTCAGCGAAGAAACTGTTGCACTTCCTGGGTTGGCTACGGCGGCTCTTCTGCTTCAGGAGATGAAACAGCGGGTTCCACAAGCCTAGTTGGTATGGATTGAGGCAGACATTGCGTCGGCTTTCCGGGATCTACCAGTTTGCGTCGACGATAGGAAATACTTGATTAACTGCGTTAATGGCTGTTATTATCAACATCTTCGTCTCCCTTTCAGTTTACGCTGTTCCCCTTTATTTTGGTGTCGCTATTTTGCTGCTGTTCATCGACTTGTCAAGCGGCTTGCTCCTGCGGACCCTTCTACTGGAGCTGGTATGATTTATGTTGATGATGTTGCATGGATAACTACTCGAGAGAGTTCGGTGTCGATGATGGTACGCATTCTTCTGGTCCAAGCCACTCTCGGTTTGTCTATCGCTTACGAGAAGTTGCGCATTACTACACGACCGCATAGTCTAGGGTATGAGTGGGATGTGTCGGAATCGACAGTTTATTTGCCAGTCGAGAAAAGGACGAAGCTAATGGATGAGTTACAGGTCATGTTGACTTCTGGGTCGTCGAAGATTCCGGTTGCTTTACTAGAACGAGTTACTGGGCGTCTGACTTGGGCTACTCAGATTGCTCCTATGTATAGTTCTGACCTAAATCCCTTTTATGGGCTGCAGGCGGTAGCCCGTAAACACAATCTGTTCAAGGTCTCCTTGGGCCCGAAGGTTCTAACTTCTGCTTCGCTGTTTTATGACCTACTCAAGATTCCCGATATGGCGGCCACCACTGCCTCGCAATTGCTCGGTTGGGGTGTTCCTGATGAGTCAGGAACAGTGGTGGTTTCGGATGCGTCTTTGTTCGGTATTGGCGGTGTTATCTTTGATTTGGAGGGAGGTCCGAGTGCCGATTTAACCCCTCAGGCGCTGACATGGTTTTCGGTAGCTTATCACGATGTACCGTCGATCCAAGACTTGGTTCCTTGGACGACTGCTACCCGAGAGTCTGAGATCGGCCCTCTGGAGTTGTTAGCTTGCATAATTGGCGTAGTACATGCTTTGCGCCGGGGTGCCCGGATGATCACCGTGTTATCAGACAATGCTGCTACTGTCGCTTGTATGAATAGGAAGCGTGCTCGATCTCAGCGTATGAATGATACTATGAGAAAACTGCGTAAGGTGTGGCCACAGCTGGGTTATACTGTAGTAGCTGAACATATCAAAGGCATCACTAATGGATTGGCCGATGTCTTATCGCGGTCTACTAGTGGGACGGCTGACGATTTGATGTGCGGTCTTGGTCAAAGGTTTGATCCTTCCTCTTTGATCCGTGAATTGGTGAACTTAACGTTGTGAGTGTGCGTGTGTTACTTTTCTTGATTGCGTTATTGTTTGCGTTGTCTGGTGCTGGGTCTGCTTGGTTGTGGGTGTAGATTTTCCCGTGTATTGTGCTCGTAATGTCGGAAGAGCGTATACTGGATGCAGTGAGAGCTGAGTACGAGGGCCGTCGACAAGCGCTTAAAGGTATTGCTACTGGTTTGCCTGCGGTTGTCGGGGACGGATTCCGACAGACTTCTGGTGGTTCTCCGAGTGAGTTGGCCACCGTCAGCTCCACTGTGACGGTGGTTCCGAGAGGTCGCCCAAGGACTGGTTTACCTCTAGTGACTGATAGTGATGTTCAAGAGCATATGGATCGCGCTCGAGCGCCAGCAACTAACAGGAAGCGATTCTACACTTTACGTAACTACCGTGAGCTCTGTGTTAGACAAGGGAACGAGCCCTTCCCGGTGACGGCAGTTACTTTGGTTGAGTATATTGTTTCCCTTACCAAGAAGGCGATCATGTATGATACTGTGTGTGATTATCTCGGGATAGTGAGGGTCGAATCGAGGAAGTTTTCTGAGTCCAAGTTTTCTCAGATGGAGGATGAGGGAAGTTAGGCTGGCTTTGCAGGCGGCGAAGCGCATTCTAAGGGGAAGAGATGCGAGGAAAGCGTACGGTGACTTTGACGATCGATAAGGTTAGGACTCTTAGCTCATTGGTCCCTTCGTCGGGGCGAGCGGAGAGTACGGTTGCTTATCTAGTGGGTATGGTGGCGTTGCTGAGATTAAAGGAGGTAGCCCAGCTAGAATTATCGGATATTGCTGTGGATCGGAGTGGGTCCTTCATGGTTGTGACTGTCCAACGGTCCAAGACTGATCAAGCTGGGACTGGGCAGAAAGTTTATGTTGGTTGCACATCGTGGACGCCGTCAAGTATTAAGGAGCGTGAGGATCCTTGGTGTGCGCTGCATCGACTATTACGTTATCTACAGCGAGACAGGAGATCTTCATGTGGAATACGGTTGTTTGCCGTTTCATATAAGCAGTTGAGCAGTGATATTAAGGATTTGGTCACCACTGTTTTGGGTGACGACTATCCTGCAGAGGAGATAGGGAAGAGGACCTCCCATGAGTATGAGGAGGACTGGTGTGTGTTTATTGGCTAATGCGGGAGTTAGGATAGAAGCTATAGCAGAGTAAGGACGTTGGAGCGATGTCAGGACTGTTCAAAACAATTATATGCGAGGCCACACGGATAGAAGGTTGAACGAAAAGGAGTATGGACGGCGTATGATGTTGACCGTTCGTTGACGAGTGGTGGTAGTCATTGAACAGAGTGTTTTTGAGTAATGATGTCGAGTGTTGTGTTGGCCGAAGTCTTTTTTGACGGGCTCGGTGTAAGCAGAGGTTTGGGTGCCGGGAGGTAGGCCACAGAAATCCAGCCATCCACGGATTGTAGATGTGGAGGGGCTAGCTTTCAGTGACCTACTGGATAACCGCGACAACTGCATGTTGTTGTCGGGCATCCACACCCCCAACCTCTGCATCATGGGAATTTCGTGTTAGTGATCTACCAGCGGTAGATCGACGCTAGCGAAATTCACCGAGCAGAGGTTCAATCCCTGGTGAAGAGATCGGGTACGCGTACCAATGGGTGATGCGAATAAGTGGTGCGAGCTAGGCTAGCATAAGTTAGTGAACCTGCCGTGACATTTAGTATTGGTTCATTGGGGCAGAGCCCCATAAGATGCATCATGGGAATTTCGGCCATAATCGTTTGCAGCTCGCACAGGATGAGCTTGAAACCATCTGAGAAACTTTTGCGTCGCCAGAATCTGCCAATTGACGAAACCCGCAATATATCTCCGCTATAAAAACTGCAGCACCTACCGACAGTTTGGCCGAGTGGTCCAAGGCGCTGGCTTTAGGCGCCAGTCCGAAAGGGCGTGGGTTCGAACCCCACAGCTGTCAGGGTACTGTACCATAATACCAGCAAAGTATACCGCCATAATCGCTTGCAGCTCGCACAGAATGAGCTCGAAACTATCTGAGAAACTTTTGCGTCGCCAGAATCTGCCAATCGACGAAACCCACAATATATCTCCGCTATTAAAACTACAATATCCACCGACAGTTTAGCCGAGTGGTCCAAGGCGCTGGCTTTAGGCGGCAGCCCGGAAGGGCGTGGGTTCTAACCCCACGGCTGTCAGGGTATTGTACCACAATACCAGCAAAGTATACCGCCATAATCGCTTGCAGCTCGCACAGAATGAGCTCGAAACCATCTGAGAGACTTTTGCGTCGCCAGAATCTGCCAATCGACGAAACCCACAATATATCTCCGCTATAAAAACTGCAGCACTTACCGACAGTTTGGCCGAGTGGTCCAAGGCGCTGGCTTTAGGCGCCAGTCCGGAAGGGCGTGGGTTCGAACCCCACAGCTGTCAGGGTATTGTACCACAATACCAGCATAGACGACCGCCATGATCGTGGTAGCAATCCTACGCAGGGGGATCGGCGTGAGCGAAATTACCGAGCAGAGATTATGCGCGCACAAAAGAGTTGTGCGCGGGAGTAGGTTGCGCGAAGAGGAATGCGGTACTTCAACTGATTCAATGCTAGAGCTAGCGACGAGTGCTAGCAACAGATCCAGCCGTAAGTTGTAATGGCTGTGATAACGGCGGACGTGAGGTCGACCCAGCCCTCCGCTCCCTGGATGTGGAGGTAGGACACTGGAGGCTGCTGACTCAACCCAGACTGGGTATGGAGTCGGGCAGTCATCTAATGTCCTACTGAACAGTGGTGGCCACCAACTCTCAGTTGGCAGCGAGTGTAGGCTACTGCCTAGCTGCTGAGCAGGTCAGAGCAAGGCCACGCACTGTTCACCTCTGCATTCATGGGAATTTCGGCCATAATCGCTTGCAGCTCGCACAGAATGAGCTCGAAACCATCTGAGAAACTTTTGCGTCGCCAGAATCTGCCAATCGACGAAACCCACAATATATCTCCGCTATAAAAACTGCAGCACCTACCGACAGTTTGGCCGAGTGGTCCAAGGCGCTGGCTTTAGGCGCCAGTCCGAAAGGGCGTGGGTTCGAACCCCACAGCTGTCAGGGGATTGTACCATAATACCAGCAAAGTATACCGCCATAATCGCTTGCAGCTCGCACAGAATGAGCTCGAAACTATCTGAGAAACTTTTGCGTCGCCAGAATCTGCCAATCGACGAAACCCACAATATATCTCCGCTATTAAAACTACAATACCTACCGACAGTTTAGCCGAGTGGTTCAAGGCGCTAGCTTTAGCCGGCAGCCCGGACGGGGTTCGAACCCCACAGCTGTCAGGGTATTGTACCATAATACCAGCAAAGTATACCGCCATAATCGCTTGCAGCTCGCACAGAATGAGCTCGAAACCATCTGAGAAACTTTTGCGTCTGGTTGTAACTGGAACAGGACTGCACCATCTCTTTCAACAGCCTCCTACCGGAGTTGGGGCCTGCATCTCGGGCCTGTTGTGATATCAGACGCTTCACGCAAGTATCTGGGTGGGGTTGTCGCCCAAGCAGGCAGCCAGGAACAGCCACACCTCCTGTGGTACCATCTGGATTTGATGGACGATATAGTCTCGAGCGACATAATGAGGATCTTGGCAGCCGACACTGAAGCCATAGAGGGTATTTGCTTCTACGAGCTGCTGTCTGCCGCTTTGGGGGCACTCGTATCTGAGCCGGGAACCCCCGTTATAGTCGTGTCCGACAACCGAGCGTGTGTGGAGGTCTTAGGCAAGATGCGTGGCAAGTCAGCTGCTTTGAACTCCATTCTGCAACGTATGATGGTCATACGTCCCGAGTTAGCTGGCGCGGCAACGCTGCATGCCTACCACCTGAGCGGTGAGCGCAACCTTCTGGCTGACCAGATATCGAGGTCCGACATATCCTTCAACAGGAGTATCTTCGCTGGGATACGTGGTGCGGCTGAAAGAGATGTCTCTGGAATATTAGCCGCCCTGGCCCGAGCACTTCCCTCTTAACAACGATCGCTCTGCATCATGTCTGATCATGTTCCCGTCACAGGCAATGGTTGAGTTGCGGCCGGAGGGCATTGAATTTGTGAGGTCATTCGCAGGTGTCCACTTGTCATGTTCCAGCCCCTCCAGGGATGCCAGCGTGAGTTGCTGGCTGGGCGCCCTAGAGTTGCAGCCACGAGGCAGCGGATCCCCCCACCGTCCGCGCCACGCGGCGACAGGCCTCGTCATGAACGGATACGGAAGGCCTTAAACGTAGCTCGTCGCGGGTGTGCCAAGAGAGCGTCAAGGGTTTCCAAGCGACTGACCGAGGCTGACATATGCTCGTTCCTATCTGAAGCTCGGGCTCCTAGCACAAGGAGGTCGTATGATGCTATCAGGAGAGCATATTCTGGTGTCATGGACAGTGCCTCGCTGCCACCGTACCCGTATACGCCAGCCAAGGCAGTCCGCTTCGTAGCGTCCTTGGTGAGGGCCGACTTCACATATGAGAGTGTACGGAACTATGCCCAGAGAATCAAGGCGTTAGCCCGAGAGGATCATGGCGACACGTTTGATACGCAAGGTGAGGAACGATTCAAGTTGGCGCTCCGGGCGGCGTCCAAGCTGTGTCGGCAGAGCGGCACGACGGAGCAATCTCGAGCGGGTACATTCACGGCAGTGGAACTCGCATCCATCTCCAAGGTGCAGGACCCCCGCCTTGAGGGAACCGTCTGTGCTATCTTGTGTGGTACAAGCTGCCTGCTGAGGGTAGGCGAGCTTTGTCATTGACCAAAAAGGATGTCCAATTCAGTGAAGATGGGCAGGAAGCTTCTGTGACCGTGAGAAGGAGCAAGACAGACCCCGCCGGTCGTGGTTGCACTTTGACGATTGGGTGTTGCTGTACAGTCGACTCTGTACAAGACGAATGCCCAGTGCACAGGCTGAGATGGTGGGCTTCCATGTGTGACGATGCCTCCAGCCAGTTGTTCCCCTACTCACGGGACGTCTTCGTTGCAGCTATGTACGACGTGACCGTGAAAGCCCTGGGCCACGAGAGTATTGACTCCCGGATTTTCAAAGGACATTCCCTCAGGCGGTCGGGTGCCCAGATACTGTTTCATCACGGTGTAAATTTGGAACACATCGTCGAGATGGGACGTTGGGCTTCTACGAGATCTTTGTCAATGGCCTATCTGAGGGACGGCGCTTATAAAACAGGTCGCCAAGCCGAGCTCACTCGTATCATGTTCGATCCTTCGCGGTTCCAGAAAGTGAGAGACTAAACATCCCGGGAAGAGGTTGGGAGGTGCCAGGTTGGTGACAAGGTTTTTCTATATATATACTGGTAGATAGCAAACAGGTTGTTCGTCACGGCGAATGTCACCAATCTGGCCCGCGATGGTCTTGCCAGCAGATTGTGCTGCCACAGCACATCTGGCCAAACCATCTGCCTCTTCCCACTCTCCCGAAGAGAAAGCGATTTATGCGGAGCACAACTTGTTGTGTGTAGAGTAAATAAGCGCATCGTAGGGAGAGTTTGGATATCTTTCGTGCGGACCGCACAGTGCGGTGCTGCACAGTGTTACTGTGCTGTAGGCGAGCGAGAGAGACATGGCATCTATGCACTGGTCTTGAGTTGATTAGTGCATCAGGATATCAGGCTTGGCGGTGGCTTGAGTTGTCTATCGAGCGAGTGCGTCTCAGTTGCCTGTGTAAGGCGAGTCCTGTTTTTTTTCTTCGGGAGGTGCCAGGTTGGTGACAAGGTTTATCTATATATATACTGGTAGATAGCGAACAGGTTGTTCGTCACGGCGAATGTCACCAATCTAGCCCGCGATGGTCTTGCCAGCAGATTGTGCTGCCACAGCACATCTGGCCAAACCATCTGCCTCTTCCCACTCTCCCGAAGAGAAAGCGATTTACGTCTGGTTGTAACTGCCTGTTAGACGTCAGAGTTAGATAGCCTCCTGTTTGATATCGTTCGGTGAACCACTCAGAGTAGTAGCATTATGCGGATATGAAAGGACGGTTGTTGGGCGTTCGTGGTGCGAAATTGGTGATTCTTTAATTGACAAACATAGAGCATATAAAGTGTACACTAACAGTCAACTGTTCGTCACCAGGCCCCTGACCGAGTTCCCCAACCTCCGTGTCTGGTCGCACCGGTTTCCCAGTTGAGTCATGGCATGACTGTCATGCCCCTAAGGGCTGCTCCCGACTGACACGGAATGGGATCTCGGCTGAAGAGGCTCGAGTCAGAACAGGTAGTGGAAAGTATGATGAAGTGATGACCACATCTAGTGCAGCTGTCGAAGACCGAGTGTGATGAGAGCATTGAGCTGGCTACCAAGATTGGTTGAATAATGAGCCACTAGCTCCCGGGCAGCAGCGGTGAGTCATCACTAGTGAAGACGAGTACCGAGGACCTGCCACAATATCAAACAATTAATTAATTTAATAAATTGTTTAAATTAAATTAAATCCGACAAAGCAGAGCAACTACCTTGGTATCTTCATCATCCACTTTCTGCACGTGACCTTTCTTTTCTCTGAGAGAAATTCTCTCCTCCGTCCTCCATAGCGCTTGCCGGATTTGCGAGCACGGCGTCGAGTATTCCCCGCCGATATAGTCAAGACCCTTTTTGGACCCAGAGGCTGATCTTGACTGGTGAATGCTCTATTGAATAATCTCAGAAAGAAACTCTTGTGCTCTGTCATATACCCCATACCTATCAGCCGCCCCACGGTTTCGAGATAATTCCTCCAGGACGTACCGGCCGTTTTATAGCCCTTGGACGTTGCAGGATCGTACAAGGAACGGAGCACAGCTTGGTCTCTTGCCACAGCGGCGAAGTGCTCAGCAATGCCTCTGACACGTGAACCACCGTCCGCGGCCTGAACAATAACGAGTACTTTCTCGTGATTCTTTATGGCACGGAAGGCGTCCTCGCGCATAGAAAATCGGCCGCCCTCGGCTCCTCTGAGCGGTGAGCTCCCGAATATGAGACCAAATATCTCCGACCATGTTGAGTTACTGACTGACTGCCAGTAGCCAGTTTTACTGTCGGACAACCAAGTTGCGCTGTTAACACGTAGCGTACTAACCAAACAAGGGCTACGAAGACACGTCTTCGCTGAAAACCTTTTTGGAAGGGCGCGTGAAGTGTTACTACAGTAGTGGCGCGCTTAACTCTAAAGGGTGAGTATCATATCGTACAGTGTCAACTGATACAGGTCTCAGCTGGTGCGCAGCTAAAGTGGTACAAGAATAATCCGTACAAACGACTTTCATCTTGTGACATATGGTACAGTTGCAACTCGTACAGTGTCAACTGGTTCAGTTGCGAGATCGTGGGTGTACGAGAGTAGGGTGTACGGTTTAGCACTGTATGAGGTGAAACTGTACGATTTGGCACTGTACGAGGTGAAACTGTACTATATGACACTGCACTATGTGAAACTGCACGAGCGGACACTGTACGATATGACACTGTACTGGTGGAGACTGTACGGAATGATACTGTACTGAGTGCAACAAGGCGAAATGACAATGTACGAAGCGAAACTGTACGATTGGAAACTGTATGAGGTGAAACTGTACGAATTTGTGGTACACGAGCAGAGTTTCTACGAGCTGCAACTGTACGATATGATCCTCACCGACTTTAAAGCGCTGGCGTGAAGCAAATAAATGTCAGTACATGATAAAGATTCGTAGCTAGTTGCGCTGGGCACCGTTTGACTGAAGCCGTCAAAGATTCTCGTTTCCTATTCCTATCCTGGTTTCTCTTGACCCTTTTTGCTAGAGCAGGGGTAGATTGGCCCGCGCAACCATCACGAATCGCCTCTCTTTGTTTGGCCTCATATCGACGGCCCGTTTCGCGTTCTTTCATTTGAAAATCAGGGCCGGTAGCACACTTTAGAGCTCCTCTCTCTCTAATAGAGAGTCTCTATCCGCTTCGCGCTAGGCTCTACGGAAAGACTCGTTGGATCGCTGAGAAAGCTTACTGATTGAACTCTGAATATCGCCGGAATGAAAAGAGATTGGGCGAAGGTGAGTAGCTGACGATTATCTCCACCGATGGGGCTATCATCTGGCGAAAACCGGAGCCCCTGAACCGCGTTTCATGAAAAGTTATTTCGCGTACAAGGTGAAGTTGGACAGACAGACGCCAACACTCGCGCGTGCAAAAGTTGGTTTTTCGGTCGTTTGACCCTCATATGAGGAAGGGAAGGGCCAGAAAAAAGTTCCACGGGGTTTTCGAGCCGTCATGAGACTAATTATGAGAAGAATCGCTTTCTTCAGACGATCCTTCATCACCTCCACCATCACCA